GGAGTCTAAACAGTGTGATCTTCCATGCATGTTAATCCAAAGTCAATTATTTTGATTAAACAATAAACATTAATCAAGAAGGAAATATAAAAGGAAGTCGATTTTTTTGTGCGATCGGCGGGGAACAGCAATAGCGGGAGAAAATGAATTCAATCCATATTATTAAATGAGGAACAACTCGCCTAGTGCATAAGAGGATATTCTCAGGTTTTAAACCACAATGGATAATAGCAACATTTTTCATTAGAACTAAACTATATAAAATCTAGTACAAAAATGATCAATTATTTAATGAGGAACAGATGGAAGAGAATTATTAAACTAAAAGTATCCAAAATAATTTTTAACCTGCTTTTAAAGTAGTTGCACAATGCTCAATGATAATCCCCGGAAGTGATTTAGCTTAATAAGGTTATACCTGATGTAAAACAACCACAATACAAAAGTTCGGATTAATTAATGAATATCCCATAGAAGATGATCATGTGTACGACATAAGAACTTACATATTCAAATCAAGTAGTTCAAAAGCAATGCAAAGATGTCGTCGGTGTACAATGTAATCATAAATATGAACAATGTGATGCTTATCCTCAGTGTCAAAATTTTTATTTAACTAAAGAGTACAAGAAAATTTACATCCTAATTCAAAAGTTCCAAAGTTCAAACCCTATCGATAAGAATATTTACAGTTGTGAGTATGGAAACTTCAACTAATGCCTACTGGTAGTAATCATCTATGAGGTTGATTTTTATAATCTTCACTGCAACAAAACGATCCAGCTCAGCGACCCAACATTAGCAACTTGCCAGAACGTCCCCTACCCAAGTATGTCTTTTACAACATTCTGAAAATCACTAAAAGTATATCTATTTTAGATGACCCTTTTTCCCATACAATTAGCAAACAAGTTTCACAATAAGAACAAGGTCCAAATTTTCATTATCATATCTTTGGTTACTCTTTATATCAACTACAAAACAATAGACTAACAATATCCTTCATCAATTATTGATGACTTTACTTCACATATCATATGATAAACAGAAAAGGAATGATTTTGATTGGTAAAAAGAACTCATGTGTCTTTTGACGAGAACACGCAAATTCTGTGACTTAGATGTTAAATTTTATTGTGTATTTTTATAACCTCTACACCTAGGTACAACGCTTAATGTAAAGTGCATAACATTTTATAGCATATCATGTGTTTATTAATATTTGAATTGACATGGATTAAATAAAGCTAAAACTAGAAGCAGAAGAACCAAACAACCTCTTAGATTGAAGAGTGAATATGAATTAGGTAATGAAATATAAGATGTTTAATTAATCATCACCATGGTAGAAAATTTTGATGGATAAGAGTAAGTCGATTAATAAAGTTTATTCCAGACTATCCTCTAGAATGCACGGCCATTCCAAACTTCTGTTTTAGAGAGGTAAAATATGGGTATTTGTGTGTTCTTTGTTCATCCACAAGCCACACGCAATATATTTTTGTCTTTGTTGCCCAATTCTCTTTGATAGTTTTCGTATTCCAAAAGAATGGGTATGTATATAGGTTGTTTTCGAGTGTTGGTTTGTAGTGGAGAGCAGTAGTAGCATATCGAGCGATCCATGCAGTATATTGCTCTAGACTACACATGCTTTGGTGTAGATATAACCAATGATATCAACTTCGTTGGTTTAATTCTGTTGGTTGCTTCCAAGTCTAGGTTACACACTAATCAAACATGTCTATCTTTTCAATGTCTTGGTTCAAATATAGTTATGCATATACTTGACGATAGTGATCTCAAATATTTTCTTAGTTTTGTTAGTAGTATGCCTCTTAACACAATATAATTTTTTGTCGTTAATAATGTTATGGAAAGTGGTATTCAACGATTTCCTAGAGAAAATCTTTTGGGTGGAATGAGTCTTCTGGTCCTGGAAGTAATCAAATTTGTAATTTATTGCCTATGATAATCAATCATGTTCCTCCTTATAATGACCCTATAGATGGTGGTGATTTTAGGTATAAAGGTAAGGTTGTTGATGATGGTTCTCCAACATTTGATGTTGATGAATCTGCAAAATGATGAGGAAAAACTAATGTTGTTGGTTGATGATGGTAATATAAGTCCACATAAAGAGTCGGTTGAACATTTTAAGAGTTTCACTAAACTGATGGAGATGAAATTGAAGTTGAAGTGTAGGAAACTGAGCCCCTAAAACCCCGAAAACTCCAACACGAAAGTTTCCTTAGTATTTTGCGATTCTGAAGAAACACAAACCACTCATTGGGGGATGTCTGAACCTTTACTATTGCCCGGATTAGCTCAACGAAAATGTAAAGGTGCCACAGCCCACAATTATTTTTCTTATGTCAAGAAGTATAAACTCTTTAAAAGCAAACATGAACTTAAGCTTAATTTAGGATTCAAATGTGTTACTAAGGGTATCCAAATCAGAGTCAAAATATCTACAAATGATAGGTTTGAAGCTGTTTGCTTTGTGGAAGATTGTAAATTGGCGGTTACAAGTTACAAAGGACAAAGATACTGTTACATTTCAAGTGGTTAAACTATCAGATAGACACACTTGCTCAAACACACAACTCCTTCCACATCATCGATTATAAAAATAATAATATAAAATAATCAAAACATATAATTATAAAAATAATGGAAATATATCCACAAAAAATGAATCTTTTCATTGCTAGAAGAAGACATTGATTGATCTGGTTTGTGTCTGAAATGTTGTCTAGAAAGAAGATCATTTCGAAATGAACTCTGAAATGGGTTCAAAATGGTATTTATAGCAAATGGGGGGGGGGGTACCAAATTATCGGTTCAGATCACTATACCCATTTACCCATTTCAACATGCTGGTCCAGAATGAGTCATTCCGGACCGAGTGGTCATTTTCAATTTTTTCCAGTTATGTTTTTAAAAGAGCCAATAAAAAGTGGTTAGATTACTCAATTTTCCTATTAATATTTGGAGTTAAGTACTTTGTATTCTAACCTTCGAACGAAAATAAAAATAAAGAATCTCAAACTCGGAAAAATAAAATGAAAACATAATGTTCTTTCTGTACAATTTGCCCTATGATTTTTGTGAATTATTGTTTGCAGGAATTTAACTAGTGGCTAGATCCTTACTAACATATTGCGACATCAAGAAAAATAAGTTCATTCAAAAATTATAAATCTATTATATTTTGCCCATTGGTAATGCCATTGAGTTCATTCCCAATATGAAGAGAGACTATGGGCGTGTTCGTCACAAGGTTTTTAGAAGCGTTTGAAAGCTTATAGCTTCTAGCGTTTGACAAAACGCTCTGTTTTGAACAGAAAGTTTTGTTTGGTACTACAAGCTTCTAACGTTTAGTTTAAACAAAACGCTCCAAATCCAAAAGCTACTTCATATAGCGTTTAACTAAACGCTACAAACTACAAGCTACCCGCTACAAGTTATCATCTATCAGCTAGTTTTGCCGAACACGCCCTATATCATCAAAAAGAATACACATTCGAGGCGGATGAGGTATAGGGTTACCGAAAAATCTCTTAAACAGTCGATATTGAAATAAATTAGAATATATAGTGTCAAAACCAAAAAAAAATTTAAAAATACAGTATCAAATTTAAAACTACAAATAAAAAAGTATCAAAATCGAAAAAATATAATATTTTTGTACAATTTGCCGTATTAATTTTGTGAAATATTGTTTGTGAAAACATAACGTGGGCTTATTTATTGTCTTATTGTTCCAGAAAATCTGCAACGTCAAGAAACAAGGCATTTATATTTGGTGGAAATTTAACATGGGCTTATTTATTAACTTATTGTTCAATTATTCATCTTGTTTGGTAGTCGGGAGTCTGGGTCTATTCTTGGAGTCTAGGAGAAGACCCAAATGGAGTCGTCGGAGGTGGGGAATGGGGAAGATATAATATAACCCAAGAATATATGTTTCTGTATTGTTTGGTTTTTTTTATCTTTTCATTAATATATTTTCTTTTGTCGATATTCTTCCACATTAATTACTCAGCTTGTTCGAAATTATTAAATAACTCTCTCCTACTTTATTTGGTAAGAACATCATTAATCTTAGATTCTGAGATTTTTTTTCGGGGTTTCTAAAATATAATTTACTTTATCTTAATTTTATCTTTTCATTTGATTGCTTCGTGCTGCTTTATACGAGTACTTGACCTGTCATCTTCTTCTATGTCATGTTCAATCTTTTTAGTTGTGCCTTCTACGTATAGTTATAATATCCAAAAACGCATGTTAATTATTGCATAGAGGAAGGCTAATGCGATTTGCTTTATGTACTACAATTTACCATTATGGATACATATATTCGGTAGATAATAATACTCCATAGATTTTGTCACATGTCATATTATATGTCATTTTGTCATAATTTTGAGATATTTATTTTTCACTTGTCATTTGTTTATTTTTCATTTTCAATATATTATTAACTTAGTTTATATAAATTAAACATACCATAATGATTATATTAATTTCAAATTTTAAATTTCAAACTTCAATTTTAATTTTAATTAAAAATTTACAGTTTAAACCGTCATATATAACATTTTGTTATAATTAACATGTTAAGTACACGGGCCTCACAACTAAACATATAATTTTAATTTATTTTTTGCATGTTTTTTATTTATTTCAAATTTCAAATTCAAATAAACTTTCCATTTAATCATTTGTATTTAACATTTTGTTTTAATCAACTCATATAAAATATGGGTCTCACAACTAGCCGTAGAAACAAAATAAAATCACATTCATATATCATAAATTTAAATAACAGTACAAAGACACAAAAGGAAACTAACACTCGTTTTGCATATTATATAAAAAACACTAAACATGTATTACGTTAAGGATTTTAAACCATCTAAACATATGAACTACATATAGTTTCATACATTTATTTATTTCATGGAGGTGAAGAACCCTAAATTCGAAGCTGAAACCCGTCAAGGACAAAAGACAACCCTATAATTGGTTCCACCAGGACATGAAAATGTGCCAGTTCTGTCATTCTTGTAGCTTAAAAAATCAGGACACCGATCTTTAAAAAATCTTGAATATTCAGTCGGCCCACAATCCTCTGTGTAACAACAGTATTTTTGGTTCTTGAACACCGTGCATGGGTTGTTGCACCCACCGGGTGTCCTTAACACGTCAGGGCACTGGCCATTGATATCGGCAATGCATTTGCTGCTGCTAGTGCACCCACCGGACGTCGGGCTAAATTCCATTGGCAGGTTGAACCCATCGATAACAGAAACATCGAAGTAATCATAATTCATGTACTGATTAAGAGCGTATTCAGCCACTGTGTTGGGCGTTTTACCAAAAGCTTGGCATTGGAGGAGGCCGTTGCAGTCACCGGTCTGACAACTGCCTCGACCAGACCCATCAAAGTTGCAGTTGGTACGGGGCCATATACGAGCTGTTGATGTGCCAGGTGCAACATCTAAAGACCAGGTTTCACCGAAATTTAGCTGCCGGCCACCACCGGGAGTTGCACCAGCCCAGACGGTGAACGGACAGTTGTTGTGGATATTAAAATTGGCCGCATTGGCAATGTGAAAACAAAGAGAGAAGAAAAAGAGAAGGAAAGTGGAAGCTGTAGAGAAGATCATTGTGGTTGTGGGTGTGTATACAGACTGAGACTCAGACTCGTTTATATAAGGTTTTTGGGACGAGATAAATGCATGGAGAATTGGAAGGGTCGTATTCATACGCCCTTCATGTTTACGTGGAATTTTGTTTCTTATGTGGAATATATGTTAGCCAACCAACTTGCATAAATTATATGTAACATATTTTTTTTATGAGTTTAGGTTGTTATATTATATTAATGTTATAAAAAGATTATATATATATATATATATATATATATATATATATCCCTATTCTAATAAACGAATAGTTTTAATCTTATTTTCCAAGTGTCACTCTAATATAATTCCTCATTAATATTATACCATCATTTCAAAATTCAAATTTATATTTCCTAATTATATGTTAAATTTGAAGTTATAATAATTTTAAAATTTTGATAGATCTCTTAATTAATAATTTATTTAAAATGATTTATTTAAAATAATTGATTAATAATTATAAATTTTTATTATGAA